CAGCCAGAACATCGAGGGTCCATTGAAAGGAGTTAGGTAGGGGTTACATGGGGATTACATGAAGTTATTTAGGGTCCAGTGATACAAACAAATCACAAAGGCTCTGCTGACCATCCCAAAGATTTGTTGCGCTGATTCCTTGGCAAGTTTTTCTGGGCAATGATGGCCTCGTGATGCATGCGCCACTGAAGCATCCTTACAATGAGGTCACGCGCATGTGTGTCTAATATCAGGGTTTGGGCCAATAGGTCTGCTTGATGGGCACACATCGGCTGTTACAGGGTCGGTCAAGGAAGGCCTATCTCCGTCACTCTGCGCAAAATCACATTGCCCAAATGAGGCACAGTCCGGAGCGGTGTCACATGAGGCCACGTTTTGTCACATCAGAAGCATGGGTTTTACGCGGCAACCCACAAAAATATGGCACATGTGCAGGGATGTTTTTTGGATATCTTGCAAAAGCAATGGTTTACAGCATGGGCGCCATTAGGAGATGGCGCTTTGGAAATCTTGTCACCCCGCACACATTGGTTCTGACCATGTCCCCAATTAGCTGGTGGAGACCTTCTTGGCAACCGAGGTACAAAACATGTTCCTAAGAGCTCCTTTGCACTGTGATGCAGCATAAAGTGAACACACAGTCTCCAATAGACATCGCGAGAACGCAGTGGATCATGTGCCAGTGGTGCTGCAAAGATGCGATTTTGCACGTCCACACCCCAAAATAGACACGAAAACATTACAATCTTTATTAAAAGATCCCCAAAGAGGGGTACCTAGTTCAGGGCTGAGCTGGGAATGGAGCCCTACATGCCTGACTCTCCTCCCCGATGAGGTGGCAAACTTTACTGGGGCTCAGTAGGGATTATGGGACTAAAGTACGTGGCTGCTGCAGCAGCCCAAACCAGCTGCGGGACAGCGCGAGGTTTACGGTTTAGGGTTTAGGGTTTAAGGTTTAGGGTTCAGGGTTTAGGGTTTAGGGTTTCGGGAAATTAGCTTTCTCATGATCAACAGCACGCTCTGGGACTGCATCTGGACAGCAACCAAACTGCTACGACGCAGGCCCATCGCAAAATGCGGATAGCGGAAACTGCAACATGTGACTATGCAGTTCTGCACGTCGGTCTGCGTTGCGTGTTTACTGGCGAAAGGCTTGCCCCAACTGTTGCTCTTCGGCATCAACTACACGTGGAGGGTTGGAATGCATACAGCCGCAAGCCAGACGTGCTTCGGAAGCAGCCAATGTCAAGCTTGCACAACTTGTGTCCAAGAAATGCTTCGTCATACACTTTTCCGGGCGACTTCGACATGCGCCATCACCGTTGACTTGCCAGGGGTGACGACTCCTTAGCAGCCACAGCTGGGCCACAGCCCTCCAGAGAACGACAATTTCATCATGCATCCGTCATTGCAACATGTTCGTTACTGTGGCTGCACATCGAAACAGACTGCAAATCCAAAACCACTTTCGAATAAACTGCAACACATCCTTGACTCAGCGCAGACGAATGCAGATTGCTATGAAAGAAGTTTGCCCACAAGTTGCGAGTTCCTGTAGCTTGCCCTGAGTTTTCATCTCTTTGACCCTTTGCCATGCGGGGAATGGGATTCCATAATCTCAAGACCTCCAAACCAAAGGCTACCTTGTGCTCCTCTAGAGGTTTGCCTTTTGGGTCACAAGATGCAAACATGCAGCTATTTCGGACATTGGCTGACGTTTGTGGGCCAATCTCATTCCAACCAGCCCACCCTGCAACTTCAACGAATCTGAAGGGCAAGACGCAACTTTTAAGTCTCCAAGTTGCGTGCACGAGCGGCAGAACGGATGGCATGAACAAGCGCCTGCAAACCAGGCGGCTGAAGAAATGCATGATTTGGAGGGATTCCGTAAGCAAGTGGCCCCAATAGAAACCGCAATACACTGGATATAATCCTCTTTATTAGGCCACCAAACGGAGGGGCCCACTAAATTTGGAGGGTCTTGGGCAAGCCCGTCCTGCGCACAAGAATCTCGGCAATCATCAAGAGTCCTGCGGACCCCGTTGGCCCGCAGGCGCGTGCCGCCACCTCATGGGCCAGGCGCCACGAAGCACATATCGCTTTATGAAGCCCACCTCGACCAAGCTTGGCGACATTCCAGCCAAACGTTGGGGCTTAGGGGCACAAAAAACAAATAGTGTTGGCTACAAGCTCAGCGTGAGCCAAAGGGAGAAAAGCATGTATTGACCCACCCCCATCTCGAAGTAAAAAATGCATGGGAGCCTCTTACAAAAAGAGAGTATTACGTGGGCACAGCACGAAGCATCACGATGTTGCAATGTTATTGAATCCATTCAAACTTAAACACCAGCATTGCACAACAGTCAAAGCTGCTGCCCCAATTCTTCGGTAAGCGCACATGGAATCTGTCTGGATGGCTAGAAAATCATGTGAGAGTGTTTCCCACGTTGCGTTGTTGTTGCGCCTTTCCCTGCTTCTACTGCTGCGACGACAATGACGATCGATGAAGATTATTAATATTTACTACTACGACGTCATGACCCAATCAAGCGGCTGGCGTTACTCACACTGGCCAGGGGTGTTGGCCAATATTTTGGAAAATCAATTCCAAAAACTCTTCTTCTGGATCTGCCCTAGCGTGCAGGAACTGATGTTACCCAATTCGCTAAATTCAGTGCGATGTCCGACTGGCTGGAGCCTCGTTTTGCCGCCCAATCCACAAACCTGTACGGCACTCACGAACAGCCAAATGTTCCTTAGAAGTCAGACGCCGGCCTTGAGGCGAAGCGCTTCGAATGATGCAAATCCGGTGGTCCGTTTACACATGCGAATGCCATGCCCAAAGCCCAGGTGACAAAACGTTACGGCGGAACCTACTTGGCATCATCAAGAAATAACATGTTTTACAGGCTGCTGTTGCAGACGTTTGTACAACCCCGGCAATTACCAAGCTTCAGTAAACACTTCAAAAAGCAAGTAAAGCTAAAAAACACAAAACACCGCACAATAATGAATATGATTCAAAAAAAATGTATTTGATAGAAAAAAAATGAACCCACTCAGGTTCTTAACAAAAAACAAATAGAGCTCACCAAACAAAATCATGTTCCAAGAACAAAACCCACATATCTAACTCAAGGAAGGACGCGTTGTGAGCTATGATCGTGTCAACAGCAACGACACTTTTACAATTTAAGATAATGATTCCCCAAAGCAGGGACAACTGTGCAGTTCGTGGCAAGCACGTGCACAGGACGGTGGCGGGAACGCCGCCCAACCCTGTCTGCTCTGGACGCTGGACGCGAACACAAAGACAAGCAGATTCGTGAGGACGCTCTAAAAAAATCGCCATGACCCAAATGCATTTGCCACTCAATTTCCTCCACTACCAATCACTAAATTGTACTATTAACATATACTGATTGGGAAAACCATTGCGAATATGGCATAAGGCATGCAGTGATCAGATCTTGTGTTGCTTGGACAAACCTCTTACAAAGTGCACTTTTGCAGGCACCATTTGGCAGCATGGTCATGAAAACAATGTTGCAAACAAGGTGATAGGACGACCCGATTCTCGTGAAGGTAACCTTGCACACGCAGTGGCTGGGGCGGCCGCAACCCACCCCGCCAATGGACGAGAGCTTGTGGGGATCGGGTGACCACGAGGACCAAGAGACCACAAGACCAGAAGGCCAAGCCAGTTCACACATTGCTTCTTACGCATGGCCCGAACAGCAGCAGCAGCAGTAGCAGCAAAACAGCGGACAGTAGCTGTCATGTTGGCAACAAGAGCTGCACGGGCCACGGGAAATGCTTGAATGCGTAGCGAAGGTCTTAGTGCCCCAACGTGAGGTTCCCGGCAACTCTGTGTGCATGCGCCCACTCCCCTTCCGCGTCAGAGCTGTGTGAGTACCTAGGAGCAGGAAGCAAGAGGCTGGTCAAAATTGGGCAGAGCGAAAGTCGGTGCACAGAAAAGGCATGCAGTCCTTTTCTGCTGTCAGCGCGGAAATGTGCTTGCTACAAGTGCATGGTCTGCCAAGAGTCAAGGAGGGAACTGCGCTTGCTTGAGTTCCTCAGGCCATGCTGCGTGCGGAAGATGGAGCGCTGCCGTGCCTTTCTGAAAGTTTTAGACCAAATCTTAAGGTCCACTCTACTCTGACTAATCCCACTCCAACCTAACTGCAGGCGGCACACTTTTGCCCTGCAGTTGCAGTCTGTCTGGGGTGCAGTTTGAGCCTACTGGAATGAAACATGCTAACGTATTGGGCTACAAAGGCACATGTACATAATCGAAATGNNGCTTTTCATCCACCAATGTCGAACTCAAACTGTACATGGGCTGTCTTCACTTCTCATAGTACATCAAATACTCAAAGTTCCAAGCTCATATCATCCAGACTTCATCATTCAAGGAGCGATCATCACACCCGTCTTGGACGGCTTGCGACGACTTGAACAGTGTTATGCAACTTGATTCACACAGTCACAAAGGCGTTAAGCAATAGAAGTTTCTATCACCGGCCATCAATCGACTCTGAAGTCGCTTGAAACTTGATTTGTCCTAAGCCGTGCCCGCTTTGCGCCGCCAAAACATTGAAAAGCCATTAACCCAAAACGGATAATCATAATCAACCGCTCGAACGATCGTGATAGATGAGTCATGACCTCTTAACCAAAACAAAAACATAACAGGCTTCACTTTTTCACATGCAGCGGGAAGTCCTCTACCGCTTTGCTAAAAGTTTAGTTCAGTGTCATCTCGACACATCGTAGCACTCTCCAAGTAACTACGCTTTATGCTCTTCGGCATCTTGTGCTTGGTGAAATGTGCAAATGTTTCATTGAATTCAATGAAGCCTACCTACCTCTTAAATCGCTCTACGGCATAGTCGATTCAAATCAGCTGAACTTTTCATCAACATCAATTCTCTTTCTTCGAATCAACTTCATAGCCATCTCGCTCATGGCTTCGGCTCTTGAGGACGTTTTATCCTCATCTACTCAAGCTTTTTCTTTTCTCTTTTTTCTTCCTTCTTCTCGGCTTTCTTTGCGTTTTTCTCCTCTTCCTTTTCCTTTTTCTTCTCTGCCTTTCTTGCAGCTTCGCGCTCTTCTTTCTGCTTTAATCTTTCATCCTCCGTTGCTTTCTCCTCCTTTTCCTTTCTGATTCTTTCAGCTTCAGCTGCGTCCTGCACAGGGTTTATGATTCCTTCTTCTTCTGCTCTCATCCTTTCGTTACGCAGGTCAATCGCTATCTTGTTCATGTCTTCGCATTCTTGAACTCTTGAACGATAGTTCGGTGTTCTTTCCAGCACGGTGAACTTTAACTGCTTCTTGTACTTAGCCTGCTTCATGAGGCTCCTTTGAGTCTCGCATCTAAACGTCTCGTCAAAGAGATAACCACGCAAGGTAATATCCGATTAGGATTGAAGTTGGGACCGTGAGTCTTCCATCTCTTTCTTTTTCTGTTTCTCCTCTTCTCTTTTCTTTGCTTCAGCTTTTTCCTTCTTTTGCTTCTTTCCGGCTCATCACTCATACTCACTGATCTTGCCGGTCTTGCTCTAGCGTTCTTTTCAGCTTCACGCTGTTCTTCATTGCGCTGTTCCTCAGGCCCAAACAAACAGTTAAGCCTGAGCTGCCGTCTAAGTTCGGCATCACTCATCTTCAGCATTTCTTCGTCCGCCAGTATCGGACAGCTGCTCCTCCACGAGCATGTACTTCTCGTATGGTTGCACCAGCCCGACGCATCCTTTGTGCTGTATCCTTTGGATGCTCTTTGGTAGCAATTGTAAAAATAGCAACTGGCACAACACAAGTTTGTCTTTCGGTCTGCTCCTCCAATCTTTCCTTGTCCCATGAAACGGGATAGTCTCAGACCGAGAACTAACATACTCGAGCAGTAAAATGCTCTACGCCCTTTCTGCTGGCAAAAGAAGCAACTCTCATTTGTTGGCTTCTCACACAAAACTCTCAATCTTGAGTCCTTGCCCGTTCCAGGTCTCCTGGGTCACAGGGACACTCAAAAGTTCCTTGGGGACCATTTCCCCACCTTCAGGTCTAACCGGTCTGCTCTCATATCGCGCTTTCTTCTTCTCCTCTTCGTCATCTTCATAGCGCGTCTCCTTTTCAGCCTTTCTTGGCATTGCCTTGACTTCAGGCTTGTTTTCTTCACTCTTGACAATGACCTGAGGGGCCTTCCTTGGCTTCGGCGTCGGGGCGATCGAAGAGAAAATTGAAGGAGAGAAGAAAAGGAAGACAGAAGCAGAGAAGATGCTTCCTCCTTCTTCATCTTCCACTTCAATAGCCACTTGCAACACAACTGGTTGATTCAGTTCAACCTGCTCCATAAGCTTATCGAAAACGCTTTCTGACCGCGTTGCTTCCGCTAACTTATCGATACCTCCTCGGCTGAGGTCTAAGCTTTGACGCCAGTCCAGAAGCTTCGCTTCTGCTGACTCTTGAGCGCTTTTCATCGCTCTAAACGTGGCAACAACGAACTCCTCGATCGCTTCGTGAAAGCCTTCGGCCTTCTTCATCTCCGTTGTCTCAGCAGTAATTTCATTCAGCTTGTTTTGAATAAAATTTCCCTTTCTTTCATACTCTTTCTCGTTCAGAGGCGAATCTCAAATGC